TAATGAAGATTTCTAGAATCTAGAAACCATGAGTGAGAGGGAATACTGTTTAAGTCTTTCACCTTCTTGGTTAAATTTATTTCTTGGTATTTTGTTCTTTTTGATGCACCCCCATGCCCCACTTTTATATTGCAGTATTAGTCTTTTTCTAATTGATTTGTGAGTGTTTTTTTAAACATTCTGGATACTAACCTTTTGTTAAGTATGTGATGCAAATATCTTCTTTTTTTTCAATTTCTTTATGGTATCTTTTATTACATTCTTTTTTAAAAATGTAGTGGAGTTTATCAATTCTTTCTTTTATAATTAGTTACTTTATTTTTTTAAGACTCATTCTTTACTCCACGTCTATAAAGATATTCTCTTATATTTTCTTCTAAAAGCTTTTCTGTTTTGCTTTTTACATTTATGTCTTTCATTTCATAATTGTTCTTTGTGGTTTGAGGATGGGGACTTATTCATCCAATGTGAATAACCAATTTTTCCAGTATCAGTAATTGAATAGTCTTTTTTCCCCCTACCTTTATTATATGTCTGTGCTCCACACAATCATGGGTTTGTTTCTGAGAGCTCTCTTTTATGTTCTTTAGGTCAGTTTGTCTTTGCACATCAGCACCATACATTTTTAATTTCAATAATAACGTTTAAGAGTTCAATGGGCCTTAATTTAGTAACTGAAGGAGGCACCATGTACTTCTTGATAGTGAAGTTTCATGAAAATATAGAACATTTGAGGCTTCTGGCCAAGATGGAGGAGTAGGTACATACACTTTGCCTCCTTGCGCAACCAGAAGAAGGACAACAACAAATTTAAAAACAAAAAATAACCATAACTTCCAGAAAATCAAACTGTTTAGAAGTCCGATAACCAAGTAGTTAAAGAAACGTTCATCCAGACCAGTAGGAGGGGCAGAGATGGGTAGCTGGGGTGGAAAAGACTTGAGGCAAGGTGCAGCTGGAGGTCCCAGGTGGGCAAGGCAGTGGCTGGTGGAATGGGTGGTCCCACATTTGCATGAGGATAAACCAGGAGGAACAACTGGGGAGCAAGACAGACATGTAACCCATGGTTACAGCGTGGGAAAATAAAGCCTCAAAACCTCTGAAAAAGCCTATGGGGGGTGAGGCAGCAGGAGAAACTCCAAGCCTCACAGAAGAGTTCGTTGGAGAGATGATCGGGTCCTAGAATGTATACAAACCCACCCACTAGGGAATAGCGCCAGATGGGCCCAGTTTGTGGGTAGTGGAGGAAGTAACTAAAAGCTCACCAAGAGCTGAGCAAATGGCATCGTTTCTTCTCAGAAACCCTCCCCCATACAGCGCCATAATGCAGCAAAGTGGTTGCCCTGCCCTGGCAAATACCTCAGGCTCCCCCACTTCCTATATAACAGGTACGCTGAGACAAAAAAAAAATACAGCCCTAAATGAAAGAACAGATCAAATCTCCAGAAAGAATACAACTAGTGATGAAGAGATACCCAACCTATCAGATGTGGAGTTCAAAATACTGCTAATCAGGATGCTCACAAAAATGGTTGAGTATGGTTGCAAAATAGAGGAAAGAGTAAAGTCTATGAAAAATGAAATAAAGGAAAATGTACAGGGAACCAACAGTGAAGGGAAGAAAAACAGGACTCAAATCAACAGTTTGGATCAGAAGGAAGAAATAAACACTCAACCAGAACAGAATAAAGAAACAAGAATTTAGAAAAAGGAGGAGAGGCTTAGGCATCTCCAGGACAACTTTAAACGTTCCAACATCTGAATCATAGGGGTGCCAAAAGGAGAAAAAGAAGAGCAAGAGATTGAAAACTTATTTGAAAACATAATGAAGGAGAACTTCCATAATTTGGCAAAGAAAATAGACTTCCAGGAAGTCCAGAGAGTCCCAAAGAAGTTAGACCCAAGGAAGTACACACAAAGGCACATAATTACATTAACCATGATGAAAGATAAGGAGAGAATCTTAAAAGCAGCAAGAGAAAAGGAGATAGTAAACTTCAAAGGAGTTCCCGTAAGGCTATCAGCTGATTTCTCCAAAGAAACTTTGCAGGCAAGAAGGGGCTGGAAAGAAGTATTTGGAATCATGAAAGGCAAGGACCTACATCCAAAGATTACTCTATCCAGCAAAGCTATCATTTAGAATGGAAGGGCAGATAAAGTGCTTCCCAAATAAGATCAAGTTAAAGAGTTTATCATCACCAAACCATTATTATATAAAATATTAAAGGGACTTATCTAAGAAATAGAAGATAAGAAATACAAACAGTAAAATGACAACAAACTTACAACTATAAACAACCAAACCTAAAAAAACAGAGACAAAAGTGAACTAAGCAAACAACTAGAACAGGAAGAGATTCACAGACATAGAGATCACATGGAGGGTTATCAACGGGGAGGGGGATGGAAGAGAATGGGGGGAAAGGTGCAGGGAATAAGAAGCATAAATGGTAGATACAAAAATAGACGGGGGGGTTAAGAATAGTATAGGAAATGGAAAAACTAAAGAACTTACATGTATGACCAGTGGACATGAACTAAGGTGGGGGAATGCTGGTGGAAGGTGGGGTACAGGGCAGAGGGGAATAAAGGGGAGAAAGAAATGGGATAACTATAATAGCATAATCAATAAAATATATTTAAATATATTTATATAAATTTTATATACATACACATACGCACATACATTCACTTTCAGTGACAGGACCCTACCAGGACTTGAGGACTTATGGTAAAATAAGGCAGACAAAATTTCTTTCTCTTAGGGAATTTATGGATTAATGAAGGCAGATAATAAACAAATAAATGACATGTTTTCAGATAGTGCTAATAGTTGTACTAAAAATCATATAAAGTGATAAGAGTATAACTGTAGTGGAGTGCATACGAATGGACAAAAAACAAAGTAATTGATAAATTATACTATATTAAAATAGGAACTCATTTATCAAAAGACACCATGAAGGACTTTTCTGAAGAGATGACATTTGAACACAACAACGAATGACAAGAGGGGTTAATAATGAGAAGATTGGGGGCAGAAATATTTCAGGTAGAGGGATCAAGAAGTATAAAGGCCTAGAGACTAGGGCAAGGTGATGTGTGTTGAGGAATACCAAGAAGGCCGTTGTGACTGGAGCCAAGGGAGGAAAGAAGAGAGTGGGAGAGAATGAGGTTGGGAAGATAAGCAGGGACCAGGCAATGTTGAATTGAATCCTTAGACCATGGAATTTATTGCAGGTTTAATAAACAGCCATTGATGATATTTCTGCATGATGCAAATCTGATTTATGATTTACAAAGATTGCTTGGTTTTCGTGTGGAGAATGAACTCTATGCAAGCGAGAAGCAAGCTGTAAGTCTGGAGACTAGGTAGAAATCTGCTGTGAAAGTGGATATGCATAGAAAGACCCCAGGTAAATTTTGAAGGTGGAATATGAACATCTCAGAGATAAATGTGATGTGAAGTAAAAGAAAGAGAAAAACTGAGTAATATATCTAAGCATTTTTTTTGTTTGTTTTGTTTTGATTTTTGCCTGAGAAGTAGGGGAGAGAAATAGTGATTCCATTAACTGAGCAGGAGAGAGGCAGGTTTGGAAGATAAAGCAGAATCAAAAATTATGTTCTGGATAAATTTGAGTTGCCTGTTAAAGAACAGAGGGGAGGGGATTTCAGGGGAAAGGAGGAAGGATTTACAGGAACCTAGTATAAAGGACACATGGACAACAACTAAGGGGGGTGAAAATGGGAGGGAGGTGGGGAGCCCTGTGGGGGGTGGGCTGGGATGGGAGTAAAAGACAGAAAACTGTACTTGAACAACAATTAAATAAATTTTTAAAAAAATAATAAAAATAAATAAAAAGTTAAAAAAACAGGCAATTTTAAGGCAGGCAATTGGATATGTGAGTGAGTTCAGGAGGAGATATAAATTTAGGAGTCAACAGTAAGTAGTATTTTTTTAATAGACTTGATGTGAAAATAAATTTTTTATATCTTGGATCATAAATGAAAGCCTTTTAATTTTTGCTTTGATATTTAAGGAGCTAAAATATAATTTTGTAAACTTAGCACAATAGGAAACATGTTAATGCAGTTTGGTTAAAAGATACCATGAAAAAATGTGAACGTGAAGTTCTGGTTAAGATAAAAATTAAATATAGAGTGAAGCCAGACTAATTCTTGCTGAAAATAAAAGTAAAGCTTTGTAGGCTAAAAACACAGAAACATAAAAGGATGTGGAAAGATCCTAGGACATTGTGGTGTTGTTTACAATTATTTGCCCTATTCTTCTACTGAGTATTTTTCTCTGTTCTTTCTGGAATAGAACATTGCTTTCTTCTAATAGTAACTTGGCTAAGTTGGGTGAATAGCAGCCTGAAACACTATTTAAATTGTAATTGAAGCAGCAACCTTTTCTGAGCCAGATTTTGGAAGCAAATTGTCCTGAATTAGAATCTTAGCTTTTTTACTTAGTCTTAGACAAGGCAATTTATGAACCTCAACCTTCCCGTCTTTAAAACAGGAATTATACCTACTGTCCATGAAAATTAGAAATTCCAGTAAATGTAAAATATTATTTTATACTGCTACTAATTTGTATTTTTTGACTACTTACGAGGTTAGTATATTTCCATATGTTTATTGACCATTTATATTTTCTCTGCAAAATGGCTATCTTGCTTATTGTTCTGCTGGTAAATATAGAGTTAGTACATGTATTAATAGCTCAATAAACCTTGGAATGCTTTTTCTTATCAGTTGAATAGATATTTTCATTTTTATAATGTCCGAAATGTGTATAATTTACTCATACATGCCTATCAATTTCTTTGGGATTGATGACAAATTAAAAGAAAACAAAACAATTATGCAAGTATTGAATTGGTAAAATTAATGTAAGCATTGAGGTAGGTCCAATCATAGTTTTATTCCATGTTACTAAGTATGCACTTACATAAATCTAGCATTGAAGTCTAAATTTTTTTGCGTTTTTTCTTGAGCTGTGATAGCAAACAGTGAAGAATCTCCACTTCTGACACCAGGAAAGATGAGTCATCGCCAAGGGAAAGAAGCTTATCCAACACCCACCAAAGATTTGTATCAGCCATCTTTCAGTCCAGCAAGTCCTCATAGCCAGGGTAAGAGTTGTAATCTTAATGTTTTTTGTTGGTGGCCTTTTTTTTAAGTGGATAATGACCTTGTGGGTCTCTCATAACTTTTTTCTTTTAAACCTTTGACTTTATAGTGTTTTTTGTTTGTTTTGGTCTTCTGTGCTACTTTTGAAATGAATACATTTTTCTTTAGAGTTCCTTAATTTCTCTTTTATTCTCCAGCATACTTTGTTAGTTACACCATTCTTCAAATTATTGATTCTCCAACTTTATGGTCTCAGTACTCCTTTGTACTAATAAAAATTATTGTAGACTCCAAAGAGATTTGTTTACGTGGGTTAACTTATTGATGTTTACTGTATTGTAAATTAAAACCAGGAAGCTTTTTGTTTACTGTTCATTTAATATTATAGTAAGAAACCCATACATGTGAATATGAATATCATATTTTTATGAAAAAATTACTTTGTGAGAATGGTATTCTTTTAAGTTCCTCAGCCGTGACACTATTAATATCTTGGGCTGAATGATCTATTGTATGAATGGTCGTGTGCATTGTAGGATGTTTTGCAACATCACAGGCCTCTACCCACTAGATATCAACAGCACTTTCCCCAGTTGTGACAGTCAGAAGTATGTCTAAACATTGCCAAATGTCCTTTGAGGGACAAAAATCATCTCTAGTTGAGAACTACTATTTTACAATTTGAGAAACTCCTTTCGATTTCTTGATTTAAAAAAAAGACACCTGAATTTTTATATCTGTTTCTGCAGTCAATCTGTTGTGATGTGATGATTTGATATGACAGTTTGGCTTCACACTTGTGTCACTGGCAATCATAGCTTGTATACATAATTGTGGCTATTCTTCTTTGATACTATACCAAAATTGACAAGTGGTACTTTCTTAAATGTTCATTACAATATGGAATATGAAACCATGTCAGTAAGTGTTTTGGCCTTTTTAATTAAAATCCATTGATTTATCTTGAACTTTAAATGGCTCTTTAATCATACATGATTTTGTAATATTATGCATTAGTCATGTAGGAAATAGTTGTGACTGAATTATGCAGATCTACCAAGTGTTGATGCAATTTAAAATCTAGTATAAGGGGGTGCTTTATACATACTTCTTATTTTTCACAGTGGTTTTAATGGAATATTAAAACCACTTGTACTCAAGGTTTATAGTTAATATTTTTACTGTTTTATCAAAAATATTCATAAGTGAAACTGGCCAGTTTCTGCAAGTTCATGGCAGTGAAGAAATGAGTGTCCACTACTATAGTTTGGTGCCTCTGCCTTGATTTGTGCTAAGGTGCTCACAGTTTTACCCAGCATTGCTTTTGTACCATCAGTGGGAATGTCAATGCAGTGAAAAAGTATTATTAAATAGTTTTAACCTTCTAGACCCTTTGAAAGAGTATTCGGAAGTCCTGGGGATTATGGATCTCACTTCCTTATTCTTCATTGATAAGGTTTATATATTGGATTCTACTCCTTAACAAAGTTTATCTAATTAAATTCTGTGAACTCTTCTGTGGTACTACTGATAGCTGTGGTGAAAAGACTTCTGCTTTCAAAACCAAGAACATCATTGTGAGAGAAGAAACATTGATTGGTTGCCTCCCATGTGAACCCAGATCGGGAATTGTATGTGCCCAGAATGGGAATTGAACCCGCAACCTAGGTATCTGCTCTGACCAGGAATCAAACCCGCAATCTTTTGGTTACAGGATGACACTCCAACCAACTGAGCCACACCAGCCAGAGATAGATGGAAACGTTTTTTTTATAGCGTTGTTAGAACTGGGAAAACTGTGCCAGAAAATAAAAATATTATGTTAACATTTATTGTTTAATTGTCAAATATATTTTGGAAAGCTAGGATTTTTGTTGCTAAATGTTGTTTTTTTTTTAAGCCTGAAAATACATATATGGTACACTGATATAAATAAGTTTCATTAAGACAAAATTCTGAAAGGGTACATCTTAACTGGTTTTTTCATTCTGTGCACCAGAATTTTTACTGTTTTAGATATGGTTTATCTGATTCATTTAACTGTACACTAGAGTATTTAGGGGAATTCTTTAACTTGAAACTTAATGAAGTAACAAAAGGGTTAATTACTAGTAATTTACCCTCATTTGTATTTATCAGGAACACTTTCAGGCAAAGAGAGGATTTGAGAAACTAGTACAATGAACACTAATATACCCACCAAGTAGATTTAAGCAATTAGCTTTGTTGTATTTGTTTCATTTATTTAGGGATGGAACTAAAATATTTAGAGTAAATTAAATTATAGACCTCATGATGCGTGCCTCAGAATACTTAATGCATCTTAAGGGTCAGAACATTTTTATATAGCCACAAGACCTTTATTACACCTAACAAAATTAATAAATACTTAACCTAACACCTACTCCACACTCAGTGCCTCGGGCTGTCACCACGCCTTTTTCAGCAGGCTTGTTCAAGCCGCATCCAAGTCAGGTTCAGAAAATGTGCAAGTGCTGCTTGGTTTAAATTGATACTGTCTTCCTAGTTATCAAAAATACAGAATACTTGCCCCTACATGCATAAAATAAGAAAAGGAAAATTGTAGCAGTAAACTGTATAGGTGACATTCTTTTACCACTCTTTTTTTTTTTAATATTTATTTATTTATTTATTTATTTATTTATTTATTTATTTATCTATCTATCTTTAGAGGGGAAGGGAAGGAGAGAGGGAAACATCAATGTATGGTTGCCTCTAGTGTGTCCCCTGCTGGGAACTGGCTTGCAACCCAGGCATGTGCCCTGACTGAGAATTGAACCTCGATCCTCTGGTTCACAGACCTGCGCTCAATCCACTGAGCTACACCAGCCAGGGTTTTTCTTTTACCACTCTTGATAAGAGTTATCAATTTCTCAGACTTTGGAAACCTCAAAAGAAAACAGCTGAGAAACTAGTATGTGACATTTGATAATCCTCTAATGTTGAATATATATTAAACTATATTTGAGATACATATTAAACATTATCATTTATCATTATCTTTTGATTTTTTTATCTTGTAAGAAAAAGAAGATCAAAACTATGAACAGTAAAATGACGATATACCTACTACTATCAACAACTGAACCTAAAAAAACAAAAGCAAAAACTAAGCAAACAACTAGAACAGGAACAGAATCACAAAATGGAGATCACATGGAGGGTTATCAGCAGGGAGGGGGACGGTTGAGGGGAAAGGTGCAGGGAATAAGCATAAATGGTAGGTGCAAAATAGACAGGGGGAGTTTAAGAATAATGTAGGAAATGCAGAAGCCAAACAACTTATATGTACGGCCGTGGACATGAACTAAGGCATGGGGGATGCTTGTGGGAGGGTCGGTGCAGGGCAGAGGGGAATAAATGGGAGAAAAAATAGGACAACTATAATAGCATAGTCAGTAAAATATATTAAAATATACATTAATAAACTACTGATCTGTATTAAAGTTCTCTGTTTAGGCTTCAGTATCTTTGAAAAGTGAAATTGGCTGGCTGAATAGTTTTTTTAAGTAGATATTTTTAAATATTAAAAGCAGAAAGAATAATTTTATGAATCCCTGTATAAACTTTACCAGTCTTCAGTAACTATCAGTGCGTGGCCAATTTTGTTTCAATTATTCCTTCCCACCCACACACCTAAATGGGTTGCTTTGAAGAAACTCCTAATTATCATTCCATTTCCGGAATAATAGTCCATTTCTGGACTAATAGTTAGGATTATAATTCCATTTTTGAATTCTTCAATTAACATGTTTTTATGGGTATAAAAAATAAACATGTAAGTATAAATATATAATTTTTAAGAAATAAATTTCATTTTGGTGGTACCCCCTCGTGTGTGTGTGTGTGTGCGTGTGTGTGTGTGGGTGTGTATGTGAGAGAGAGAGGGACATGTTTATGGGGGTAAAGTATCCTTTGGTGTTCTTAATGTTCATCTTACTGCTTTGTTAAAAACTAATAAGGCCTGGCAAGGATGAGACAGACTCCTCTCATCTTTGTAAAGATACTTAAAACAATGCTAAATGATTCTTTCTCACTTTTCAATAAATGCTTTCAAAGTATTTCAGTTTCTATAGAAGCACTGGAAAAGCTGAAGAATAAACATAGATATTGCAGCATTTCAGAAGAGAAATTTTGAAAAAATATTTTATTCTGATTTTCTTTATTTGCCAAATGTTACTGTGTATTCTCTTGTATTATTTAACAGGTACTTTCATAGCTCTATGAAGCAACTACCCAAATTCAAAGGATTTTGAAACAGAAAATATCAGTGTCTTAAGAAATAACTTCAGAAATCTGACATATTTTTGAAGGTTGAAAAAACTCAGTAGAAAATTAACATGAACTCTAATTTATACTAATTCTAAAGAAAAACAACCTATAGCTATAAAACAAAGCACAGCACCTTTTATTATTCATGCTTGTAACTAAAAACTTCATTTAGATGCTTTTGCATTGATGTCATTTCCATTCTCAAGAAGTCAACTGCCAACTGTCACCTAGGGCAGTGGCTCCTAACTCTGGCTGTTTTTGAGAATCACCTGGGAACTTCGCTTAGATACAGATTCTGCTGCAACCTTTTCAAATCTCTAGGGTGAGACCGTGTGCTTATAAAGCACGCCGTGTATATCTGATGCAGTGACATTTGGACGGGCAAGTGGAAACTGGCTGCCAAGAGCATAAATGGTAGACTGCATAATAAAGGTTGTCAGTGCTCTTAGTACGCCTGCTTTTACTGCGTCCTTCTATTTTTGCTTTGTTTCCTCGCATAATGAACCCAGATAAATGGCTTTCTTCACTGTTCCCCAGTGAGACTTTGCTTTTATTTATTGTGGTTTTCCACTGTGGAATATCCTCCCCCTTCACTTTGCTCATCTAATAATTCTTAAATCCCAGGGTGCTGTTAGTGAAAAATGGCCTCAGAGTAAAGATCAAATCAAAACAAAGAATTTTGTTTCTGTAAAATTCTTTGTTGAGACCT